AATAGTTAGTATAAAAAATAAAATATAAAAGGTAAATAAAAAGGAATGAAAAAATTTAAATTAAAACAAGATTAAATTGGAAAAAATTAAAATTCATAGATCAAATTAATTATAAAAATGATCTGCAAGAGAAAAATCAAAGGCTTAAGGGATTAAATAGCAAAAGGAAAAAAGTAAAGTACTAAAATAACACAAATAGAAAATTAAAAGATTAAAACAATATTAATAGAAACTAGAAAGACCTAATAAATATGAACAAATAAGATCATAAACAATCAATTTAAAATAAATATAGGGGCTTAAATTATAATAAAATCTAATTATATGGATTAAAATGCAATAAAACAAAAGATAATAACTAAATAAAAATAAATAGTGACTAAATTCGAAGATTATTAAAATCAATATGCATATTCAAAATACATAACAAAGTATATGACCAAAGTACAAAAAACATTAAAATAAGGGAGCTTAAAGGTGATTTTACCCTGATAGGACCAAAGCACAAAATACGTTGAATATGAGGACCTTATACGTGATTTAACAATTAATATATATGAACAAAACATAAAGCTCCTAAAAATTAATGGCCTAAAAATGATTTAACCAAAATTCTTTTAAGCTTAATATCTTTCCTTTCTTCCTTCTACCTTGAACCAAATCAGTTTTTCATTTCTATTCTTCTGCTTTTTTTTTACTTCACCAGCGCGACAGAGTAGACATGGCGACCAAATCTCAAGTGAACTCGAGAGTCATACCGACCACTCGACTCTAGACTCGACGACGGCGACAGCCCTACTCCGACGTACTACAGCAAAGTAACTTAACTCCCTATCTCTATTTTAATTATTTTTTAAACTCATGGAATTTACGTTAACTACGAACAAAATTACAAACTAAAATTCCTAATATTAGTTGCATTCGAATTGAACAAATAAATTAAAGAAACTAAAATACAAATTGAAATACCTTAGGATTACTGAAAAATTTATGTATTTTTATTGCCTTTTTTTCATACATTTTGCTCGGCTTTTATAGCCAAACTTTATATAATTTCAACAGTAAAAAATTACAAATTGATCATGCGCAAATTTTTGCAGGAAACATGGGATGATGGGAGCAGGTGTGGTGGGTAAGTTGTTTTTTTGACTTTTCATTTTGAAAATTGGTGATTACAGCTGCCCTCTTTGCTTGTTGCTGTGAAACAGGAATAAAGCAAATACGTAAAGCAACAATTTTCATCTGTTTGGCCCACAACCAAAGATTGATGCCCTTCTTTGTGCATTCTTGTGTCAACAAGAATAGGGCAAAGATGAAAAAAATAACCAGTTTTTGTCCGATTCTTTTTTTTGATGTGTTTATTGTTGGAGAACAACTGTAATTGGGCTTCAGGTTGAGCCTGGAATTGAGCCTTGGTCTTCTTCTTGATTTAAAAGCCTTGGTCTTCTTCTTGATTTAAAGACCTTGGTTTAAAAATTTGACTGGAAAGTAGTCAATATGTCATCGAACTGAACGGAATCGGACTCGAAAGTTTTCATAGACAGATAACCCTTCTCGCTTTAGTTACGATGTACTAAGCTGAGAGATTGCCCCAGATCTTCTTCTTGAGTTAAAAACCTCGGCTTGAGTTATGTTTTAAATTTGATTTTCCTTTGAGTTGAATGCAATCGAACTCGAAGGTCTTTGATGACAAATATTCCTTCTCGCCTTGAGTTACGCTGTAAATGATGTGCCTTTGAGCTTAGTGTAATCGAACTCGAAGGTCTTTGACGACAGATAACCCTTCTCGCCTTGAGTTATGCTGCAAATGATGTGCCTTTGAGCTGAGTGTAATCGAACTCGAAGGTTTACTGACAGATAGCCCTTCTTGCCTTGAGCTATGCTGTAAAATGATGTGCCTCGAAAGGTCTTTGGTTGGCAGACAACCTTTCTCGACTTAAGCTATGCTGCAAATGATGTGCCTTTGAGCTGAGTGTAATCGAACTCGAAGGTCTTTGGCATATAACCTTTCTTGCCTTAAGCTATGCTGCAAATGATGTGCCTTGAGCTGAGAGTAATCGAACTCGAAGGTCTTTTATTGGCAAATAACCCTTCTAGCCTTGAGTTATGTTGCAAATGATGTGTCTTGGAGCTGAGCGTAGTCGAACTCGAAGGTCTTCAATGACATCTAACTCTTCTAGCATTGAGTTATGCTGCACTGGGCACGATATCATTTGTCGTGAAGTGGAAATCGTGGATGGCCCCTTCGTTGTGAAGTTGAGCATTTAATTGGATATCTTTCGTCGTGAAGTTGAAATCCAATATAAGGATGTGTTGTTTCGAGTCCAATATCCTTCGCCGTGAAGTTGAAATTGGCTCTGAATGAAACTGGGAAGCCCCTTCGCTGTGAAGTTGAGCTTTGAATTGGATATCATTCGTCGTGTAGTTGAAATCCAATCTTGTGTACATGGGCACGATATCCTTCGTCGTGAAGTTGAAATCGTGGATTTGTGGGCACGATATCCTCCGTCGTGGAGTTGAAATCGTGGATTTGTGGGCACGATATCCTTCATCGTGGAGTTGAAATCTGGCTTGAAAACATTAACTGGAAACCTAGTACTCATTGTTGAGTTGAGATGAACTGAATTTGTTCTGAATTGGTTCTTGAACCTATCTGAAATTGATTCTGAGATCTGTCAATCTTTCAATGCGTCAAGTCGGTAGCTTCTCACTGCTGAGTTAAATAACCACCATCGTTCTTTAAAGGCGCTTTTGAATCGAGTATCATTCATCCTGAAGTCGAAACTTGACTCTAAAAGCTGCAAAATTCATATATGCTAAAATGATGAATGTGATGCTCTTAAATATGTCTAAGATGCATGCAATGTGAATGAGGATAGAGTCTCGTGCTTTGTCTGCCGATCTGGTCCTGGGAATCGATCGTGCCCCATTTTCTTCTCGGGTTACAGCTTCAAGGACCTTTTATATTTGTGACTGTCCTGTTTGAAAATGTTTTTATTCCTTTGAATTTTCAAAATTTTGAAATACATCAAAAGGAATTTTGAAAAATATTACCTCATTCTGGGTTTCACAAGCAAATCATAAAACATGAGTTCATTGGATATCAAAGAATTAACTACTCTTTTAATCTTTGAAAACTGCGAATCTTTGACAAATATCAAGATTAAAAGGATGATTTAGAGGTTGGCAACCTAAACTCTAGGGTTTGTTTCCCCAATTTAGTCATCGTGAAGATCATATCATGCCCCTCTTTCTTGGTTTGACATTTTAATTGGAGGTGGACAAAATGACACAACTAGCATAATCAATATCCAAACCTTTTAGAATGATTTTGTTTCAGTTCTCTGAAATCTTCCGTTTGTTCAGGCTTCGTAGACTCATCTAGTCAAGGTAGTGCAGGAATATCGGTCTAAAATTGAGATTTTTGAGTGCTCGTGTAAGTTTAACTATAACATGTGTTCCTCAACTCCCTTAGTCCATATTCACCGAAACTTCTTATTTAGTAAATTTGATATAATTTGCCATTGTCTGGCTAGCTGAATCTTATCCATACAGCCGGGGCATTTAACCAATTGCTCTAGAGGGACAGGTCAAGCTTTATTGTATATATTATAATAACCTTTATCAGGCTAGCTGAAGGATTCATGTCGTCACAAAGTCTTTGACTTGACAATCTCAGTGGAGCATACACCGAATTACTAGGTACCCGATCAATGTAATGGTTTGAATATAATCTATTCATAAAGCAAGGGCTTTCGAGTTTCCTCTATAACCAATTGCCTTAGCCAAATAGCTCAGCTTTATTGTATGTATGTATGTATGTATATATATATATATATATATATATATATATATATATTATTTTTGTTGGGTAACCGAATTTTATTTCTTAAGCTTGCTGAGGAGAACTTGTTATAGTCTAAGTGTTTGTTGAAAGTCAGAAAATCTCATTGTTAGAGTTCGATTCCCAAGCAACTGACCTAAACTAAATTCACCCACTTGACCATTCCATCTGAAAAGATCATGATCATCATTGAACGTTATAAAAGAGGTAAAAACCAATTAGTTTTGCAATCTCATGTTCTAGTTGTCCCATTATGTTTGCTCCTAACACATACTTGAGTATCAAACCTTTGATTGGCTATACATGCAAGGAGAAAGCTAGCTTAGTCCTTTTAAGGGAAGAGTATGTATTCCAGTGTATGTTCTAGATTAAAAGGGGTCATTGTTTTGCAGGGATTCAATCTAGTCATTTGTCAAAGATTTACAACCTCAAATATTAACGAAGTTTTTAATTTAGTTGATATTCAAAGAATTTCAAGTCTGTAAATTTGATTCATTATTTCACCATCTTTAAAGCAACATAAATTTATTTAAATGTTCATAATAAAAAGGGAAGTTCAAAAACAAGTTACACCAAAAATACGAGAAAGTTCAAAAACAAATTCAAACAAGATGCTGCAAATGATGAAATGATCCTCCTTCTCACTTGGATGCCCCCAAGTTGTTGAAGTCGATCCAGTTTTGGTTACGCATCTTCTGTACGACTCTCTTGAATGCGTAACAATTCTCAATTGTGTGTCCTAGGATACCACCGTGATATTCATAATGAGCATTCTCATCATACCACTTGGGGTATGTGGGCTTCATGGGTTTTACAGGGTATGGTGACACTACATGGGTGTTAAGAAGTTACTGGTAAAGCTCCTTGTAGGTCATGGGAATAGGGTCGAAATGTTTCATTTCCTTCCTGGGTTCTCTGGAATCTTGTTTAGAAGTACCTGACGCTACAGCTGCAGTTGATTTTGGTTTGGAGATTGTAACACCTTTACTGACATCGTTGATGTTGTTAATTTCTTCATCTCTCTCTCGCATAGGAGGTTTCCTACTGGCCTCCCCATCCTTAATTTTGCCTTGGTTTATGGCTGGCTCGATCATTTCTCCGGCCATAACCAAGTCTGAAAAGCTTCCTGATGTGATCGCAACCAGGTGTCCGAAGTATGGAGCCTTCAAGGTCTGTACGAAAAGCTTCCAGGTTTCCTTTTCATCCAAAGGTGGATGAACTTGCACAACCAAGTCCCTATATTTTTATGCGTATTGCCTGAAACTCTCGTTATGCTTCTTTTCCATGCTTTGTAGCATAACTCGATCGGGCCTTATGTCATTGACATGCTTGTATTGTTCCAAAAATGATTTGGCCAAGTCCTTCCAGGTCTTGATATGGGATCAACTTAGCTAGTTGTACCACCGGATGGCTGAGCCCGATAGACTCTCCTGAAAGCAGTGGATCAGAAGTTGGTCATTTCTTCCATATCCTGTCATCTTTCGGCAGAACATGATGATGTGGACAGATGGGCAACTGTTTCCGTCAAACTTCTCGAATTCTGGGGATTTGAATTTTGGAGGAAGAACCAAGTCTGGGACTAGGCTGAGTTCTGCGGCATCGACTCCATGGTAGTCATGGTCTCCTTTAACTACCTTCATTTGGTCCTCCAATTGCTTGATTTTCTCCTCCATCTTCTTTGCTTTGTCCTCTTTGTCCAAATCCAATATATGGTAATAACCCGGATTGTTCCTAGGGTTAAATACAATAGTCTGTATCTTTGCATCAGATGGGGTCTTCGCCTTTGCAACAGATGAGTCCCCTCGAAGTTCCGGTAGTATTCCAGGTGAGAGAACAAGTTGTGGGGTAAGTGGTATAGTTACTCCTTCCGGTGAACTTGCCCCAGGCGCACTGGTCTGTTGTAGGCCAACTAACTTGGCAACGATCTGATCAACCAAGGATTCTTGGTTCTTTGTGATTGTATCTAGAGTATTTCGACTGTTCTGGTTTATCTTGTCTTACAACTCTCTCTGGAGCTTCAATAGGTTTTCCTCGATATGAGTGATTCTTGCTTTCATATTCTTCTTTTTCTAGCGGTTGTTATGCGGATGGGGTGTGTCCAATGCTTGAGGTGGTGTATCCAATATTTGTTCCTTTTGACGAGACATTTTTCCGTTAGTTAATGCGAATGCAAAGGAATGAAAATAGCAAAATGCAAAATATGTCTAAATGCATGATGCATGAAATGTTCGAGGCATTGATCCAAAAACGTGCCTGTTATTATAAATAATCTTTATTGGGACAAAAGTGTTTTATCTCTTAAGAGACAAAATATCAAAGGTATACTCTGACTAAATCCTCTAGACCCCGAACGACTTCTAACAGGTTAACTAGTCCTCTGCCTTTGTCTGTTGCTGGTTAAACAGCCTGTCGAACTGCTCCGGATTCTCTGGCTAAACTGTGCAAGTGTTGAGCTGCTTTTTGTACTTGTTCCATGAAGTCTCGAATGACTGCATCTTTGGCTTTCATCTTTAGTTGAACCTGTTCCCGACGAATAAGTTATTGGAGCCCTCCATCGAAAAGGAAGTATCTGAACCTTACTAGCTTGCTTATTGAATTCGTCAACAATGGCCTTCAATTTCAGCTATCATTTTGCCATCCTGCTCTTGTTATCTTTGAAGGGACTCTCTAAATCTGTAGACTTTTTCTCGTCTTGCCCCCTATAAATTTCGCCAACTCAGAAGGTCGACTTTTGATGTGCTCGGTGTAAATCCCGATCCATTCTGAATCCTTTATAAGGAAACAATGTATCATATTCTTCAATTATGGGTACTACATCTTCTTGGTTGAACTGTCTTACAGATTGTCTCATTGACCATAACCTAACCTCTGCATTTTTGACCTCTTGTATTACAACCCCTTTGTCCATTAATGCAAATTATTTATGTTTAACGAACATGTTTTAGTGGATCAACACCTCTTTTAAATGATGCAAATGACAAAAATAAAATGAAAGAAAACAAAATTGAAAAGAGTTAGTAAGGTAAGGATAATAATCAAAACAATAATGAAAAAAATCCTACCCCACATGATATCTACCCCACATGCTTATTAGTCCTACCCGGATATGATCTCTATCTCGCATGTCAATTTTGAGCAAGTCATAACCGCATAAATTTCTAGTTCACATGCTTTGAACAGAAAATAAAGTAGGAAATAATCTCAAAATAGCCTAGGGTTTGAAATGAGGTTTTAGGGTGGGCTCTAACTCCTTGTAGTCTCCCGGTTTATGTTTTAAAGAATGTACTCGATTTCTCCTTGTTGGTGCCCCCTTGGGCTATCCAGACCCTTAGTCCTAAGCCCATTACAAGTTTATGTGGACTAAGTTAAACTCGAGAGGATACATTCCCTTATGTCTGTGCGGTGAATAAATTCACACGAAGACATAAGGTATATGAATCCCGAAGGCTACCTGCTAGGTCTGTGCGGAGAATAAATTCTCACGAAGGTGTCACTTTCACCCCCACTTAAAAAGAGTTCGGAGCTCGGGTATAGAGCCTGAGATAAAAACTTTTGAATATATGAAATCATTGAAAAAACGTCAGTACAACTATTTATTTGAAAAATAATCAAAGATAAATAATTAAAATCAAATAAATAAATTAAAATTTTAATTTATAATTTTCGCTTAAAAAGACAACTGAAAATTAATTCGGCCTGACTCACTTATCTGAAGTTCCCAGCAGAGCCACCAAGCTGTCATAACCATTTTTCGGTGGAACAATTAAATATTATTTTTAAAAAAACAGTTATGACTTTTAATTTGAAAAATTTGGTGATTTTGAATTAAATTGGATAGAGTCTGAAAAAGAGTCGTCATCAACCTTTGGGTTAGGTAGGTTGAATACCTAAAAACGTCTTTCAAAAACAATTTTAAGAAAACATATTTTTAAGACGAAAAACTGGTATGCATTTACAAAGATTCGATGAAAACGGGTTAGGGAGTCGATTATAGTCAATGAATGATTAACACCCTTGAACTGCCCTTTTGGTACCATTTAATTTGTCGGTTGTCTTAATTGCAAAAATTAAAATTAAAATTTAAATATTCAATCATAACTATTTACCTTTTGATCGATTAAAATTATCCTAAACATATCATGAATAAAATAAAAAAAAACAAAGACAAATAGTTAGTATAAAAAATAAAATATAAAAGGTAAATAAAAAGGAATGAAAAAATTTAAATTAAAACAAGATTAAATTGGAAAAAATTAAAATTCATAGATCAAATTAATTATAAAAATGAGCTGCAAGAGAAAAATCAAAGACTTAAGGGATTAAATAGCAAAAGGAAAAAAGTAAAGTACTAAAATAACACAAATAAAAAATTAAAGGATTAAAACAGTATTAATAGAAACTAGAAGGACCTAATAAATATGAACAAATAAGATCATAAACAATCAATTTAAAATAAATACAGGGGCTTAAATTATAATAAAATCTAATTATATGGATTAAAATGCAATAAAAAAAAAGATAATAACTAAATAAAAATAAATAGTGACTAAATTCAAAGATTATTAAAATCAATATGCATATTCGAAACACATAACAAAGTATATGACCAGAGTGCAAAAAGTATTAAAATAAGGGAGCTTAAAGGTGATTTTACCCTGATAGGACCAAAGCACAAAACACGCTGAACATGAGGACCTTATACGTGATTTAATAATTAATATATATGAACAAAACATAAAGCTCCTAAAAATTAATGGCCTAAAAAAATGATTTAACCAAAATTCTTTTAAGCTTAATATCTTTCCTTTCTTCCTTCTACACTTTAACCAAATCAGTTTTTCATTTCTATTCTTCTGCTTTTTTTTTTTACTTCACCAGCGCGACAGAGTAGACATGGCGACCAAATCTCAAGTGAACTCGAGAGTCATACCGACCACTCGACTCTAGACTCGACGACGGCGACACCCCTACTCCGACAGCAAGGTAACTTAACTCACTATCTCTATTTTAATTATTTTTTTTAAATTCATAGAATTTACGTTAACTACGAACAAAATTACAAACTAAAATTCCTATTATTAATTGCATTCAAATTGAACAAATAAATTAAAGAAATTAAAATATAAATTAAAATACCTTAGGATAGCTGAAAATTTTCTGTATTTTTATTGTCTTTTTCTTCATACATTTTGCTCCGCTTTTATAACTAAACTTTACATAATTCCAACATTAAAAAATTAAAAATTGATTATGCAAGTAAATTTCTACAGAAATTCTGGGATGATGGGAGCAGATATGGTCGGTAAGCTGTTTTTATGACTTTTCATTTTGAAAATTGGTGATTACATTACTCTATCCTACTTTTCTTTTTGGTTAATGAGCGATCGAAATTGCTAAGGAGAAGTAGACAGGAAATTATAAAGGAACGCGGAGTTCGTCTAATGATGATTTCTCGGTGGTGGTGCTTGCTTCCGATTTGGGTATAGACGCCCGTCCTTTCTTATCCGACCACGACACTGAAATCGAAGACCAAGACCACTGGCACGACTGTCCCCAAGATTTCTCCGATGAAGATTTCTCCGACCTCGATTTCCTCCAGTTCTTCCGACGTCAGGGATCCGATAAATCCGGTAACCGCATCATCGGAAAGTATTTTCCCGGTAATTTCATCTAACCCATTTTTATATATATTCTTCTTCTTCTATAATTTTAATTAGGGTTTGAAATTGTTTAAATGAATTAGGTAAAATGCATTAGATTATGGTAACTGACAAGTGCAACTCATCCTCTTAGAAGATAGCTACTAAATCTTATCAAAAGTGAGATCCTTGTTGAATCCCACTTAGAACCATCTTGTTTGTAAATCAATTGGAGAAGTCACATATGGGATGAAATTTCATACTCTATTTCTTATTATTTGGGATTCTTGAAATCCACAAAGACAAATTAAATTCTTCCACTTGGTTCCTGTACACAAAGGCTTGATTACTGCTAACCAAAACCCTCCTATCATCCAACTCACTCAGTTGTTCCACATAGGTGATAAAAGAAACCTTTTGCAAGAATGAAATAGAGTGATTCTTGTTAGTGTTTCATGTATATAAAACCAAAGGGGGATATCGGGAGTCCATTACCTGATTAATCAAACAACTAATTCCTTGTTAATGAATATTGTATTTAACTAAGTAGGTACATTCCAATTAAATTCCTTGTTCAATTTATTAGATGTGATGCATTTGGTTCTTTAGATAACATGGTTTTGGCTAATCATTCAAAGTATAGCATGTCAGTGCAGTTCAACTCCTTTATCAGATATCTTCTTGTGGAGAAAAAATGGCTCAATGGCTACTTCCTAACTCCTATATTAATCCTGTATGGCTGTATCTTATTCGATACTCTAATAATCACCTTGGTTAAGGACTTACATGAATTAATCATATTCTAGGAATGAGTGAGAGATAAGTATTTGAATCACTAAAGGTGATGAATCCTTTTCGGATCAGTGATCAGTCATATAGCTTTATATACTTCAGTTCATATCCAAATTCCCCTTGCCATAAGTATCCTTTCTTGGAAGTTATTCATATGAATTCAATGCATGACAGTTTCAATACATGATGACCTATTGTCATAAGTCAAATTATTTGAGTTGAACAAAGTTTTAGGGTTTCATCAAGTTTAAGTCGTTCCTCTAGTAAACTCTATTTTGGCCTTTTTCAAGGTACTTGCTTAAATGCATGCAGCTCCAGTTGTTAGTGGGGGAGCGACTGATATACACCACAAGATATGCAGTGAATTGCCTGAAGGTCCATTCTGCATAGTTTATATGCACAGCACAGTGCAGAAGGAGGATAACTCCCCTGGTGCTACCATCTTGAAGTGGATTTATGAAGAACTTCTTTCTGAGATCAAGGATAGGCTGCAAGTCATCTACTTTATACACCCTGGGCTTCGTTCAAGACTTGTCTTTGCCACTTTGGGCCGGTTTCTTTTAAGTGGGGGGTAAGTTACCATAATTCAAATTACCAATGTAGCTATCTAATAAGTTATACCTTTAATCAGATGAAAATTCTTTTAACTGTTTCTTGAACTTCATAGCAAAGCTTCTTCAACGCTCTTTCTTTCTATCAGTTGGACTAGTTGTTAAGCAAACTAGTCATATTGTCTAAAATATTTCTTTTCTCGTTCTTAGAAGAGTCAGCACATTTGATGCAAATCCTTTCTTTCTTTTTTATCGTAAAACGTAATGAGAGCATTCTCTTAAATAACAATTGATAGATTAGAAGCCTACTTGGTCATGCTAGAGGTCATCGTAGATTTGCAACTATCCTGGCCATATTTTTTAGTCAACTCCTTTTTCCCCAGTTTATATTGGAAGATCAAGTACATAAGCCGCCTGCAGTACCTATGGGATGACATAAAGAAGGGAGAGGTTGAGATCCCTGAATTTGTGCAAAACCATGACAATGTTCTTGAGCACCGGCCGCTAACAGATTATGGCATTGAACCGGATCCTCTCCACTTAACAGAGGTACCTACCACTGCCTACTCATTGGGGAGGTATGAAGAGAGATTGATCTCAAGAGGATTCATGTTATAGTATCGAATTAGACACAGCTAAACCCACTGAAAGGGTTTTCAGCCTCTGGCCGTTAGGAATTATCAGGTAAAACAAGAATCAAGAACTTTATATGGCTTTATATTGCGTTCCTTTCTCTCTTAGAAACCGCTACGTTGTAATTACGTAAATTCGGCATGTTACGGCTGACATTGATGCATGGATGTTTGCACCCTTTATTTTAGTCGGTTTGTTAGTATTTTTGGTTAAACTTATATTATTGAATTATTAGATTGAATCGACTTGTTCGATTTGTTTTTTTAATCACTATTCATCAGCACATCTAATGCAAATTAAAACTTGATGGTAAAAATATTGTACAGGTCCTCGTATTAGTGCAAAACAGAATTTCATGATAAAAGTATAACAGCTAAAAAAGATTGTTAATTTTATGATGTGGTATTAAATCCTAAATGTAATAGTTTGATCTTTTAAAGGTTATAATAGGTTTTAACAGGCCATGTCATATTAATGTTATAATCTTTTATCAATATTTTCTCTTAACTTATTTTATTGTATCCAAAAAAGTTTTTAAATTAATATTAGAAATTCAAAATACATTCATGTAGATAAAAGTGACATAATAATAAAATTAACCTTAACATTTATACAAGTAATTATGTTGACTACTATTATTTTTGGAGAATTTTAATCTCAAAATTTTAATTTTTGATTAAATAATCTCTTTTAAATTAAAATTATTAATTGACTAATGATTGACACAGATTACTGACGTGATGTTTTTATACATACTTAATTATTGACATATCATATATTGTCACTAAAGTGATGATATGGAACGTGTTTATCACATAAAATGATAACATATCATATTACTTAAAGTGATGATATAATATATGTTATCTTACTCAAAGTGATAATATGATATATATTACATTATCAATTAAGTACATATAAAAGATATAATATTAATTATTTACGTGATATGTACCACATCATCTAAAATGATTATGTGATATGTATCACATTATCAATTAAATACGTCTGAAAATATCACATTAATATACGAACTAAACTACCTCAATTGTTAAATAGATGATTGCTATTCCTAGAGACTTCTAATTTGAACATCAATGATCGCAGGATATTTTAGTATTCACTACCGAATGATTGAGAATCATTAGAACATATACTAACACTTCTAATCATCTTAAATTAATAAAAAAATATATCACATTAAATTATTTATGTTGATCATTAATTGATTAATAATTTTATTTAATAAGATTAATTGTAAATAAAATTTAAAATATAATTAGTAAAATATTAAAATAAAAATTAATATTTGTGCTTGAGTTAATTTTAGGGTAAATTATGAGTTTAATACTTAAACTATTAGTTTTAATCTGTTTCAATAGTTAAACTTTCAAAAAAATTTAAAATCATACCTAAAGTTTAGTTTTTGTTTCATTTTAGTACACCGTCATTAAAAATTTTTAATTTTTGTTTCATTTTAGTATCCGTTCAAAATTTAACATTAAGTTTTAAAAAAAACGAAAGTTTATGTACTAAAATAGATAAAAATTGATAATTTAGGTGCTAAATGCATTAAATTTTTAAATGTAAACACTAAAATGAAATGAAAACTAAAAGTCAAGTATATTTTAAAAAAATAAAAATTTATGTATTAAAATAAACTTATAGTTTAAATTTACCCTAAATTTTATCATTATGTGTATAAAATTCCATGCATCAAACTCGATAGTCTGGTGTCTTCTATATAGATGTGACTTGTCACTCCCTTTCCCGTAGTCGGTTATATTAGATTGAAGGCTGACTCTTTTCTCTATAGTCTTTTTTCGTTTCTCTGTTTGAATTTTTCCTTAACCTGTAGCATAGTTTTCAATGGTGGATTTAGTTACTTTGATGAGAAGAAGACTGATTACAGCCTTTGAGGCCCATTCCGTTAGTCTTTCATTGAGTTTTTTATTGTCTTTAGAGATTTGCTAGTGACCGTTACCCTTTTGTCGAATGAGAGAAATCTTCTCCGCTGGAATTTTCTATACACCAGATACCTTGGTCCAACTGACGAAAATCTCCTGCATGTTTGCTTCTGTTATTTCTCTTTTTGTTGTTTAAAATTTCTGTTATTCTTTTGTTTTGTAGTATTTCTCGATTGGTTCTTAATTATTTACTTTGTATTAAGGTAGTTGAAGATTTTACATAGAAATATAAAGCCATCAATTACATGTGAGGTATGTTCTACAGAGAACTTCATTCAACAAATCCAAAGCAAACCAAATGGAAGATGAAAACCAATCCATTGAACTCCAAAATATCAACCTTTAGATAGAATGTTCAAAGAACAACCAAGCTAAGGAGAAGTCCACATCGTCGTCGATAGCACGAAAGTGGAACCTGGATGGCCACCATGCTTACGCTTCACCGTAGTTACACTTTGAGCTCGTCTACAACTGAATCGTATATGGAAAATTGTATGATGCATTTGAAAAAAAAATACTACCTTTTCAAAGAATCTTGAAGCTAATGTACTTCCTTTTCAGTTTTTTCTAATCTATTGTGTCTTTGCTCACTTAATTGAAGAGTGGGGTTCGACGATTTTGGGTGGAACTGTCTGGAATGAATTTTTTTTTGAGAGATAGCTCAGAGCTTCAATGGGGGGTTTGATTTTGTGGGAAATGAGTTTTAGTTAATTATTTTTTTCTTATTTTTCATTTCAATGGTTTAGATGAACCCTGTTTTTGGATCTAATGGTTGCAATACAATGTAAGCTTACGGGCTCCCCACAATTACTAACTTGCACTGTTGGAATTGGAAAACTTAGTGGAAAGTTCAGATTTTTTTTAAAGAAAGAGGACTCAGTCGAGCGATGACTCATATGGGAAATCAACGCAAATCCATTGCTGCTGTCGTTTCGTCCATTAACCGAGCCATCGGCAGTGGGGGCAGTGGGGTTCCCCACTGTTTTTCTGGTAAAACCAACCATCTAACTGTTTTTTTTTTGGTTTCTTGTTTTAAGAAAACAGGAAAACAAATAGCAAAAACGAATGTCAATTTGGCTGTACAGAATAAGGAATTAGGAATTTTTTGTTACTTTGACAGAATGATATTGGCAGCAAAGTCGTCCGCATTTTCTGGAGTCTCCTCTGATACATATTCATTCATTGCTCTTGTACGGTTTGCTGGTGTGTGTTTGTTTGTTTTTTTCCCTAGTTTAGAAAACTAAAAAAAGTTGAGAAAAAGAGAGTATAAAGATTTGCCTGTGCTTCTGATTTCTGATAACACTAGGGGTTCTTTCTGTATTGCAGGTGGCCTACCTTTGTATGAGGAGATTGTGCCGCTGTGTTCGGTCAGCCTGCTATCTCCCTTGCGACAGTATTTCTTGTGAATTGCTATGGTCATGGACAACATGAGTAGCACTTCATCAGGAAAGGGTCTTCTCCACCTCAATGATGTGGAGGCTGGCCTTTCCAAGGACAATGATGACCTCGACAATCATCTTGATCTTGATGTTGACCCCTCCGATCCCTTTGACATTACTCACACTAAGAATGTTCCCCCTGAGACTCTCAGACGCTGGAGGGTATAACCCCTTTTTCTCCTTATCTAAAATCGTTTCTTTTGTCTGTTTTTCTTCTCTCATTGTAATTATAATATAAGTTGTTATATAGGATTTAGTGGCAATTAAATGAATTTTTTCACTTGTGTTTAAGCTGTTTCACTATTTTTTCTTGTTAGTCATTGTATTGGATGAGGGAGATTTTTTGGTGATGCTTTCAATGTTTAAATGCAAGCTCAGATTTATCACGATGCAAATTGTTATTTCTTATTTAATGCTTGCTTGGACTAAATCTGAATGGAGAACTTGTTATGTCTGTGTCTTCTGTGAAACTTGTGCATGAACCAAACTGAAGCATGTGTGGAACATTAAGCTGTTTTCAGTTATCATGCTGCGTTCTTTGCCTTAATCCCTGTATTGAGTAGGTGGTTTCCAATTATGTGTACTGTATGATCGGTCTGAAAATGGTAGCTCTACATTTAGGCATTCTTTTCAGGATAATTGCAATATCAATTATCCAAAGAAAGCATAATGCCCTGTTCCAAAATTAAAACATTCAGCAAAAGCATTGCTTCAAACATTTAGGTATTCTTTTCATTTAGGTGGAGCTTATGGGCATTTTTTAAAATTAATTACGAATCCTTTATCTGTTTTACTTACAAAAGAAATTCATGAATTTATGGCCAAGTTTTGCTAATTCCATTTTGCTTTTGATTATTTGCAACCCCATATTTAATTCATGGTTATATAACATAAATGAATTAATTGTCTGTTTGTGGTCTTTGTGTAAGATGAGTAGGGGCTCTTATTTTTCTTGGATCTTTGCTGATTTTTTTTTTTACAGCAAGCGGCACTTGTTCTAAATGCTTGTCGTCGATTTCGCTACACATTGGACTTGAAAAAGGAAGAAGAAAAAGAACAAAGAAAGAGGATGATAAGAGCTCATGCACAAGTCATCAGAGTAATTTTAAATACTGTAATCAACATTTAAGTTAGATATTTTTGTTCCAGTAACGTCAAACTGATGTTTGCTTGTTGCTTCAGGCAGCGTTGCTTTTCAAATTGGCTGGGGAAATTCAAATTGGTATGCTGCTTTACCTATTTACCTATAGTTTTCCTCATAATTCTATTTTTAGGTCTTCCTTTGCTTTTGCTTTCACCCCGATATCCAATTTTAGTAAGTAGTAGAAATATAATGGTGTCCTTGCAATTTAGCTTGTACAATATGAAAGTGCTTATTATTTTTCTATTCATGATTGGGAAGTGTCATACTCCACTTGCTGATAGCACTGCTTTTTCTTCTGTTTTTTTAATAGGATACCGTTTTATTTTTCTCATGTCAATTATTATTCATAAGAAAGTTTGATACTTTCAACTGGATATTTCAACAAAATGAATATGTTATAGTTGTTTTTGATGAAAATGGTATTTATTTTTGTGGATACACATTGTTTGAATGTGCTAATGTACATTTGCATTCATTTTCTCTCTTGTGGCTCTGAACGTAAAAGTGAATTTTAATTTTGCTGTTTGCAGTGTGTTATTGATTATTTTGTTGTGTTTTGCCTGCCTGCTGTGAAGGAGCGTATTTC